GGTGAAAGTTGTTCCTGTTCTCTTTGTGTGTGTTACAGGCATCTGGTAGAGGTGATTCTTCATATCTAGGCCTCTTTAGGTCAAGTGTTCGTTTAGTGGGATTCATTGACCAATTTTAGCTTGAAATGGTAAAACTACATGGTAGAATATATTAATATGATGAAATACAGAGATAAGAAAAATCGTTTTTCGCAAGATAGTTTTAGATGTTGAAGGTCTAGTACATTGGTAGGCATGCTAAAAAGATATTGTATTTGTAATGGCCTTGTAGCTTCACCTACCCTCTACACACTAACATACTTTTCTGTTATACACACAACTACCTCATGCTGTGCAAATATATCATTTAACACTTAAAATATGGAGCAAGATATATGTTTTAAAAATTTAGAAAGATCTGGGTATATTATTTCAGAGGTTGCATGACAACTTCTTTGGTAGGGTAAGATTTCTTGTAAGATGCTAGAAACCTGAGCTTAGACAGGCAAGCAGCTTTTCAGATCAAAACCTTGTCAAATTTGGCCACAACTCCACCATGTAATCTAGCTAGTCTAGTCTCTATTGCAGGCCAGTATGTGAATGCATGTGAAATGTGAAGCCTGTCTGTTTGGCTCATCCCCAGCTGGAGATGCTATGTTCATATCATTCTGTGAAAAGTCAAGCAATTCAAATATATGAGGAGGGAGTTGAAAAAAGGATTGATTGAAACTTTAAAGTAAATTTGATTGGTATCAAATTAGAGACAGTGACTGACTGATACAACACTAGTCCTTAGTGTTTTGGGAATTTTAGATTTTTCAGCATTTTTGAAATTTGGTGTATGTTGGAGACTATGTTGTAATCTCAAGGGTTTAGTAAGGTACATCTTCCCCACATTACTTACATAAACATACTCATGTAGTAGCCGACCTTACCAGCAGTATACAGGAACATCACCACTGACTAATTATTCTAACTTGATCAACATTCAGTTGCATCAGGCTCTGGTTTTTCTCTTAGTTATCTGTCTACCACCCCCCTCTCCCTCTGTAGACATGACCAACTGGCCCTTTCACATTGTTAAAACTTACTGGGCCTCTACGTAGAAGACCAGTTTTGTACTGATAGAGCTACCCAGAATAAATATGTCAAATCAAATCAAATCAAATCAAAAAGTAAGTCAGTACATGTATATAGACAAACAGAGGGCTTGGTTAATGTTAGAGTGTATATTTGAGTCAATTTGATTAGAGGAAGAGGGTGGAGCCTACAAGTTGAGCCTATAAGAAATGAATGCACCTTTGCATGACTAAGGTACATGTTAGACTCGTCAGAAGTGATGACATATTGTTACAGTCTCCAACTTTTTTGTTGATGATGTTCGTGGGTTGGTGTTTGGTATCTGTGACAAATGGCAGGTGACACTGTGTTGTATTGTGGGTATTTAAACATACAAATTATTTGAAATCAATTCATGATCGTCTTATTTAAAAATACTTCCTATTTTATAGGTATATAATTAGAAACAAAATGAGACAAGTATGCCATAGTAAATACATTATGAAAAATAACGAGAGATTTAACCCAACTAAACAACTAGATTAAAAAGCATTATAACCTTGGAGCAGGCTAACATTAACCTAAGTATCTTGTTTATATATTAATGTTTTATATAATAAGTGTCTAGTTCAGTAAAATAGATAATATAAAATGTTATACTAGCGCGAAAATTTTGGTTGGGAATATTTGGGCTTTTATACAGTTTCTGATCCCCACCAGGTCTCTTTTTCATATAATTCTTGATTTGCTCCAACCCTGCCTTTTCATTGTAAATTTGCTTGTATTTATGAAATAAACCTATATTTTGTGCAAGAGAATAAAGTTAAGCAGGTATGACATTGTCTAACTTAATGACTTTGTGGAAAAATAAAAAGTCAAGTTGCCGTAATCTTATGTCATGGTTTGTTTCATTTTTCATGTTTTGGGTGAGTATCATATTATCTCATCTTGAGGTAGAAATTGGGATTCAAGTTTCACATAGTTTAGTATCAAGCCCCCTGTACATGATCCCTGCCCTTCTTTCCCAAATTCAAGTTCTGATATGTCTGTAGATAGCCAAGGAGAGGTGATGACCAGAGGCAGAATGAAAATGTAGCCGATGTTGAAAACTTTAGTTTAATTTTCTGTTATATATTTGAAGCAAATCAATAAGAAATACACTGAAACAAAAATAGATTGACCAAAATACCTTATTGAATGATGAACTTAATTGAAAACATACTGAAGCTTTGAAGCAGTAAAACACAAGTTCATTCATTCAGTCATACAGTATTGAGAATTTCCTGTGAGGATATGAGTTGACAAATCACTGTTTCCCTTAGTATGAATGGATGAATGACCCATACCACAATTTTGGAACCCAGATGAACTGTATTATATACATGCATATTCAATATTGGTCTTAAGGTAGCTAAGTAGAATAAATACTTGGGACATTGTCTCATTCTCCCAGACTTGTGTCATGTGTAGTTATATTCAAAAGTTATCGTACTGGACCAACCTTAATTCAAGGCAATGCAAAGCTGAATATGATTTAATGCATTGGGAAATGAAGTATAAAATCAAACTGGTATTTGCCTTGGTTCAGCAGATTCACCACAGATTTATGTGTTTTTCTCAGCTTTCATATTGACCACAAGTCCTGATAGTTGTAACCACAAATTTGTTTCAAAGCAAGACTATCTGACCTTCCCATTTTGTGGTGGTTCACATGTTTATCTAGAGACAAGAGAGGGGAGAGACAGAATTAAATTTTTTATGCAGAATTATATACACAAAATTTTAGTACAAAAAGTCCAAAATGGTCACCTAATAATTTACCCCCCCCCCCCCGGCAGTATGCTTAAGATGTTTAAATCATCAATAATAGCTTTTTAGTGTTATTTGTGTAGATATAGCAATTAAAGTACAGTTTAATTATTTATTTATCAGTTTATTTGCAATTTGTAGTAAGAAAATTGATTTAATATTTGACATATTACCTTCAAATTACAAAGAAATGATCACAAAGTCCACACAAATTCATGTGTATTCGCGATATATATAAATTGATTTTTATTATTGTTATATGTCATATGATGACATCTAAAGTGTTAGATAACTACATAAAAAGTTTATATATTCATAAATGTTATTTTAGCCAAGTTTTGTTGAGGTATCATTTTATTGTTTGAACAAAATTAAAAACTTGTTCAAGATGATGAGGATACAATGTTGTCATGATGATTATGTTTACTGCTGTTTACTGATTTTCCTTTATTTGATCTTAGGCTATTTGTAAAATAAATGATTTTCATCAACTTTTTATTGATTAACAATAAAGCTGTTAACCTGAATTTTGTTGTTTTGAAAATCATAAGTGCATGAATGATGAATTTTGACTAATGATTGAGTCTTTAGATGTCATATCATGACATATTAGTCAATACAAAAATAGATCTTACTGCACTACACTACACTACACTGCACTACACTACCCTACCCTACACTATCATTATACAATGTAGTGTGATGCACTGCACTTCACTTCACTATACTACACTTAACTACACTACACTATCATTATTATACAATGTAGTGTGATGCATCTAGATTATTAATCTTCTAGCAAGGTCATGTTTTGAATGTTTATTAATGAAACTCCCAACTTGTTTAGGACATATTTATCTTTTGAAGTTATTGACATTATGAATGCATTTTCAGGATATGTAACCTTGTAATAGAGCCTCTTCTTACAGCTTATTCTGGCCATACATGCTTTTACTTGTATGACTAGTGTTAGATCTACTTGCTAAAATCAAACACAAAATGAATTTCTATAAGTGCAGTTATATTATTTTTCCAGACAGAGGTCATATTCTGAAATTAATTTACTGAAAAAACTCCCATATCTGTTTACAATATAGCGTATATTTTTCATGATATAATATCTCAAAGACCGCATCTGTTAATAAGTATATAATGTTTATTTCACTTTCAACCTCCATAAAAAGCTATGAAAAGAGCATATGAGATCATTAACATCTTGTCAGCATGAAGATTTAAAAAATCATTTGTAAAAAATCATTTGTATATCGGAGAGAAGTCAGCTGATGTGAGTTATTCAAGTTAAACATGATGGTCGTCTCAGTAAATGATGATTACACAAAAGAATTCTTTATTATGTCGACACCAGAGTGGTGACATATTGTTATATTTCTCAAAATTTTAGTGAAGAGTGGTCGCAGGTTGGCATTGGGGGCTTGGGGTTCGGCATCCTTCTTTCAACTTCCAAAAACTGATGGTGACATTTTGTCATGTTAATGCCTTGTTACCGATTTTTCTTTCCTATTATCTCTTTGCTTTTAATGATAAAACTAATCTGATTGGCAAATAACTGTGGAGTTATATCTTATTATAGCAATAAAAAGGAAAAATAAAAGCAGCGTAAATAAATAATAAATGTTCTGAGAAACAAAATGAATTCTGGGAAAAAATCATTGGAGTATTATAGATATAGTACACTCTTGTAATATGTCATTTTGACATTAGAAAGTCAATAAACAACGGTGAAAAGTTAATGTTTTATGTGATCGTTTTTATAGAATTATAACTGTGTAAGTACTGATGCATTCGATAATTAAACGATTTTAAAGGAAGTCAAAGAGAATGTTATTTAATTTCTTGTTACAGTTCAATCGAAAGTTTCTTAAAAAATCTGTCGGGAGATCTACAGTGTACACATATACTAAATGAATATCATGGTTAAATAATGATATTCAAATTATATATAAGAATCATGTGAATATACTTCACATGCTTATTAGTGTGTATACCAATATTATCACCATTCATGCTAGTTACTAAATGTGTTAATTAGTAGAGTCTACTTCATGCTACTACCCCTTGAGTAGCAATGGGCCAGTCCATCATCTATGAGGCTGCATGTGCTAGATGATATTGAAAGTTCCTGATAAGTGGATGCTAGGTTCAACTATTCATCACAACAGAGAACTTATTTTCAGACGTAGACAGGATATTTTTGCGGCATCTACGTATTTATAGCAGAACCAAAGGGAGTTATAGAAATTGTGTCTAAATGCAGGTACTAACTGGCTTTATTTAACTCTGGCATAGTAAATACAAAGATCTCTGGGAATAAAGTTATTTTTATCAAATTAGTGGCAAATTCACGGTCAGGAAATACCAATACCAGAGAGGATTGCCGGACTTAAATATTGATTTTCTGGATCGTACATTTAGTTGGAGTAGATGTTTAAACTCCCTAAATTTACTGTTTATATGCTGTATAATACTTGGTAAGGTTTTTTCTTCTCATTTCTCGAAACATACAAGAGTGTGTTATATTGGTTATATTTCTCTATGATTTCTAAAAACGGCAACATTGAGGTGTTTCAGGAATTCTGGAAAAGTTAAAAAGTCACCTAAGATAACTTATATGTTGGGACTGTAATGGATAGGCTCTCTATTTGTTTATGCTCTCAATATCAAAGCATTTTGCACATTAGATTTTCCAGTTTACTAAAACAGTGTTTAGATATGGACCAACGCTTGGGTCAGTACTACTAATCAGAAAATAGGGGATGTCTCGATTAAGTCAATGGTTTTCATACTTTATACAAGATCCATAATTTTATAGTAAATGCAGTTATATAATTTTCATCTTCTTTACACCGCTTGGGTATATTTAATTCTAAATGATACAAGATTGGCACTTACAAAGAACATGAAGATAATTGCCTATCCATGGGTCTGAAGTGATTAAGTGTTAAAAAAGAAAGAACAACAATTATGTCTCCTACTTTGAATGTACTTATTTGCAGTTTATAGCTATCTGGGAGGCCAGGTACATATATCAGTCATCGTCCATTATAAAAGAATTATTCTCAAGGTGGGGTATGTTAGGGGAATTATACTATAAGGTCTGCAAAACACACCAGAGCCGAGATGAAGAACACAATTTTGCTTATAACAAGTAATATATGAAAAACAAAGTTTATTCACCAAGAATCGTTCAAGGGCCATATTGGATTTCAGTTCCATTTTCAGGTATTTCCTGTAACGGCTGAGGAAATGTGTTTTCTAGAATCACCAGGGAACAGACTGAAACCCAATAGTGTACACTTCCCCAGTAATATGGGTCAACATTTTACTTTACCAATTGAACTGTCGTTTTCAGGAAGTATGTCCTTCTCAGGTTTTCTGTGAAAGTTATACTTCAGTTTAGTTGAGATGAAAGCAGGAATATATGAGCTTAGATGAGTAATTGGTGACGAGGAAATGATTTAATGTATTATGTTTCTATTAAATTCCAAAACCTGCTTTAATAACCCTCAATGAGCAGATTCATGTTTGATATCCACCAGCTAACCACACATTACCCTGATATTTCAGTTTTAAAACATCTTAACATTCTCAAATGGATCTATGGTAGTTTGTTTCTTATTGGTAGAAAATGCAGTATTCTTATTTGCTGTCTATACAGTATATCCTGAGCTGATCAACATTGATTTTTGGCTGGTTAAACAATATTTTCAAATACTGGCTTATGTAGTAAAATACATGGAGCTCAAAGTAAAATATAAGAAAAGGTAGATTAGACTTTCCATTGATGTAATCATCCTCATGTTAAAATTGGCAAATATCAGAGCTTTCCATTGGTAAATATCCTTGTTTTCTGTGGTAAAAACACATTGGCTTTTCATCTACAAAAAATTAGCTTTCCATTGGTATGCAAGCACTGTGTTAGATCTTTCAGAAGCTCATAACATCAATTCAATGATAGATAGGAGGATAGGAGGATTCAATCAAGATAGGAGGTTTGAGTTTAAGTTATGTAATGTTTGTGTTTGTAATGTAGATGACCAGGATATAGTAGCTGGAAGCTAGAGATTATCAGGGGGATTATCCAGCCTCCATAGATTAGAAAATTATCCATCAATGGGCTTATCTCACTTTAACTATTTATCTACTATACAAGGCTGTCTCTTCATTCAAATCTCTGTGTACATCATCGCTAATTAATTTTGTCGGTGAATGTAGGTCTGAATAAAATTTCAGAAATCTTAAAATTCAGGATTTTTAATATTATTTTTATACAAGTAACAAGATAAACTAAAACTGAAGGTAAAATCACTGTAGGTAAAAGTATTGAAGGTGAGTACCTTAATTTTACCTGATTCTTAGTCCTGTATATCTCAATGTAATAATAACAGATTTTCATCATATCTTCCTGTTTAACAACTTTCAAGATCAAAGCTGAACAAGAAGGAGCTGACGGTATTTACCATGGTGTGGTTTCACAAAATTATTTCACTTTCCAGTTAGTAATACATTTTTGGGTGGGTTTGTGAAATGTTTTAGGTAAAATAAAGAGCAGCAGACAAGTTTCTTGAAGTTAGGGAGATTGTATGTTGATTTCAGACCTCTGTACATTTGTTTGTTGTTGTATTCCTGATATCAAAACACGCTAGTTAATAGTGATGATTTGCTTGTCAGGGTATTATGATATTGAATGCTCTATAACTACAATGAGTGTCAGGGACAAATATATTAGGATAAAGGTACATGAAGCTCTCTTTTAAATGAACAAAAACAAACCATTTGAAAGGGTATTTCCTCACCAGTATATATTTGGGCAACCTGATGGGGTACATGCATGGAAGTTAGAGAAAATAGTCCCATTTTTTGTCAAAAGGGAACTAGGCTTGCTCCATGGGAGTGAAATAGATGAGATGGGAGGGGAATAAATGTAAGACATAGAAATGGATTCTCCAAATTTTCTATCATCATTTATAAATTCTTTCACACCAGTATGTGATTGGCTAATAGATAATTAAATGCAGTGATTGCAATCAGTTATTTGCACAAGTGATCATTATTTGTTTTTTAATTGATTTAATAAATGGCTGGTGTGATGACGAGTGGTAAATATTGAAAGTTTGGGACTGCCCATGGTTGTCGATGGATTTGTCAAATTATCAGTGGAAAAACACAGCGACTTGCTAGTTAATGGAAAACTATTCGATAATTATTATTTTGGAAATTTGAATTTGTACTCTCGTATTGATATCATTGCGTGATTTTATCAGTCTAAAATAAAACATAATCAGAGTTTGTTTTATTTTATGTTTATTTATTAAGACCACTGAATGATTTTCTCAGAAATGTCATTTTTGATTAAAGTGACATTAAATTGAATTGATGAGGGTTTATTTGTGGGAAAAGCTCAATTTTGTATGGACTTTTAAGAATCTGATATGACTTCTAATCATTAATTCATGATCTCATAATATGCTGTCAGAATATCATTGGACTTATTACATAGTCAAACTCATAAAATACAATAAAGATACATTTGAGTTCAATGTGATTGGCAATAAAGCAATCTGTCTAAATCAAAAGGTAAAGTAATGTGACTAGCCAGAGATTCAGGGTATAGGCACTAGATTACTATAATGGTATCTCTGTTGAACACGATTTGGGCCATACCCCCTAGACCAAAAAGGAGTAGGTCATAGCTAACAGGAGTAGAGTAGGTATATAGTAGCTCAAGATATTCTTTAGAAACAAACTGGTTATTTTATACAGTAATTATAAATTGAAAAGTCAAAGGCATCATAACTTTAAGTATCATCATACCCTCATACAGTAGTTTGATTTTCTGTCTTTTGTCAATACTGTATCAATAATTATCTGTGTTTGTATTTAGCATTACCATAGATCAAAATGAACAGATTATAATGTCTGTGATTTCATAAGGGATTACATGAGGTAGGATGTGATATGACATGCTTACTTATTAGTCAAACGTGTTCGAATTTCGTGGAAATGAAAGAGAGACTTAATGAATATAATATTTGTTAAATACAAATCTGATATTTCATCAAGCAAGCTGTGGTAGATTTGCTCATCTTATACAGTGTAGGATCATGGGCTTTAAAGTACCTGTTGAAAACACATGGTAGGATTTAGATTTTAAATTATCTAGTGACAATTATTGTAGATTCAGTAGGGTTGAGAAATAGTTAAGGTAAGTTCTTTGCAATTTATGTTAGATTCTTAAATACAGTAGTGCATATATGCGAACAGGAGTAGATCAAGACATTTTTTCACTTTCCCTAACATCTGCACCTGGCAAAACAACTAGTGAATTTCTTCATCTGTTTTCCCTGTAGGGGCCATTTGAACAGAACATTTTATATAGCCAGGTAAGCTATGTTGCTCCCAAATGCACTCTTCCATATGTTCAGAAATCATTTTCGCCTAGTTAGGATAGAATCTGCGAAATTATGTCAATTGCGTCATAGTCGTAATTATCCAGATTATTGGTTATAACCACAACAATGAATCAGTTAAATTACCAATGAGGAAGTACAATTGTCTGCATGAATAGCTCATTTGATTGTATATACAATTGTTTAACGACCTTGAATGACATAGTTTGATACCATATGATATCCATAGATATTATTTTATTTTTATATATATTTTAACACTTCCCTTTCCTCACTTGATGTCAAATAATTGTAAAATATGTTTTGTAAGTTCCATTTTCATTAAAAACTTTCATAAAATGTCTAGTCACGCATCAAACCCTCGCTAACAACCTTTCCTAAGATCTAGATATTCGATCAGAAAAATGGGACAGCATAAGAGCTTGGTGCGAGACTGCCAACATCCTTGCAGTTAGAAAATACCTTTGCATTAATTTAACTTAAAAGATAGCTTCATCTACTCGCCTTACTTTATGGGAACCTCTGAATTTATCAAACCAACCAGAGTTTGGATTAGCCAGAAGGGTGATTTTTAACTCTATATGGACATTTTGTTTGAGGTCATCATAGACCCAATATTGACCAATATCTAAATATTATTACATATTTCTTTCTGTTCACTGATTGTTTGAGAAAATTTTTTGAGTTTGAATTTATTTATCATGGGTTTGATTGCCTATGACAGTGTTGACAGGGTTGCTTAAATTGTCTTACTTATCAGAGGTTAGTTTAGAACTAAATGCTATACCCAGGATGGCTAATGACCAAGCAAAGTACAATGAATGTTAGTTAGATTGTGCCAGATTTAGATGAGGAATGTACAAAATTGGAAAACAAATTAACCTTTTTATTTAAAGCATCAGAGGGTGAATGAGTATTCTTAAATTACCTGCTTATACATACAAATAAATAAAAATTTGAATTCACGATCATGAACTTGAATCAGCTGTACAACAAAAATGTTACACGATAATCTACAACTTGTTGATGACGTCATTTGTTTTAATTTTCCATTTATTCAAGTAATTGCTGTCATAGAATGCGACATGCGGTTGCAATAACTTCATTTGTCGTTAATTCATGGAATGATTTAAATCCAAGTGCAGTATCAATAGCAGACATTCAATTTTTCATGGTGAATTGATTGATAATTTGCAAAATCAGAACTTAAATTAAAAGTACTTATATTTAATGAATTTACTTTCTATGTATTTTCAGTTTCATCTAGATGAGTGCTTACTGATTCTGCTACGTCAGTGAACCACATACATTGTGGGTATCTAGAAACTTACCATTGAGACTACAGATATTACGGCATTACAAAAAATCATGGGACGAAAGAAAATACAAATTTCCAGAATCGGAGATGAAAGAAATCGACAGGTTGGTGAATCTCTACATAATTTATTACAGTTTCTTGCACAGACCAAGAAATGATTTGAGATGTGTAATTTATACATGGCAAATTCTGTTTGCAAATAAATGCCTTGTTTGAATTAGATGACAGGGGGTTGGGGCAATTTTTCATTTGATGGTTAACATTACAATTCTCTCAACCTCAGTGATTTTATCAGCTTTGATCATGGGCAGTAAGTCACCCCCAAACGGGCCCCCAAACTGTTCTAATATAGACTCCTGAATATATGAGGGAGGGGTGACTTACTCCCATGGCCAAGATGCATCAAATATACCCATATTACAAGTCAGTACACTGTGGCATCATAACCATTAATAATCATTTCAATGTATGGTCATGGAAGGGTTAAGTCAACTTCTCTATTTATTTTCTAGCTCTAATTACCTTGATCACCTTATTTTCTGGCTCTGTGTTATAGACTGTGTAAGAGAACTTCTTATTATGATAGATAGGTAGTAGTAAAGAACAGCTCTCATCATTAGTTCTAAGTTCCCGTTGTCTATCTGGTGTCAGTCCAAACAGCTGTCAATCTGCTCCCTACATGTAGTACCAGCTGTATGCTAGCATGAAACACTGTACTGGATGATATACTTTTCCCAGATTTTCTAAGATAACATATAAACATAAGGTAGATCTGGGGTAGCATGGACTGAGGGAGAGATTTCCCCAACATTATCAAAATATTCATTGGGTACCCCTTCTCTCCTGAACTTGTTGATCTGGTGAATAAATAAATTTTTTTTTTCTTTTCCCAGTCTGTCTTGCATAGTTCTTCTACCTGATGCATTGCATGGAAGTGAAACACACACTTGTATAGGTACAATATACATAAAAAAAATACATCTACCCAATTAGTTCAGTTTTTCTTGTAAATTCTTCATACACAAAGGCCTAACCTATTTGATATAAAATTAATTGTCTCTGATACTTTTCTTAACCACATTCTTTATAGGCATGGACAAGATTAAGGTTCTTAATAAATCATCATCCGCAGCTAATCTTATTGTGTATTAAACAGCGAAACATGCTCTTTTTGCAAATGCGTCACAGCTTCACATTGCATGTTTCTATGGTAACTCTAAGCATTGTGGCCTTTAAAATCCATATAACATATCTCCAGTGTATGTCTTCTCAATGTCTCTAAACACTTATATGCACTTATGGGGTCTTTAGATATTGCTGTTGTAAAATATAGTCCAAGATATGTGTTGACTTGAATTGTCACTGGAATTTGTACATCTTGTAATACGTTGTCATTGTCAATTATTTTGGGTTACTGTCTACACTAAAGAGTTTAATCAAGAAGAAAAACGCTGGAAAGAACTCGATGACTTGGTAAGGTAAATAAAATGGGGCTATTATCTGGCTGAAGTCTCTCTTTTGGGAGACAGTAGGATAAAGTTAATTTGACTACTTGACTGAACATGCTGAAGAATCACATGCATTTACCAAAAGCTACCAACCAATGAACCATGCAATGAATTCTACCTTTTGCATTTGTTCGACTTCACTTCTTAAAAGAGAGCTTCGTCTTCTCTGTGTTGTTATAACTAGACTCTGTGCGTGCGCCATTCTGATACTCATAGCATCTTTCTGTCACACTTGAAACATGTCAGGGCTGAGAAGAAATGAGATGTCATGGTTTGTCATGATGCTGTGTGCAGGGTAAATGAAATCAGTATACTTTGACCAGAGGGGAGAAAGGCTAGAAGATGGGATGGCATTTGTTGGGAGCATTTGAGAGTACTTTTCTATGACATTCAGACTGTTCCTGTCTTTGCCAGTGAACCCAAAAATATGATGAATTATAACTTGTGTTCATGGTCATAAACATTAACATGTTGGACTGTTTCCTATGTATTGTAGTTCACATACTAAGCTCTTCCTGTGTAGCCAAAATGCAAAAACTAGTGGAAACTGTAATTTATTTCTACATAATTTATTTAACATCTGACTTCCTTTGGTAGCTTGCCATTCAAGGCTGGGCTAGTGATGTATCACCCTGTGGAAGCCCTCAAATAAATTAACTAAAAAACAAGTTGTATCTCTGATATGTGATCATTACAAATGGCTGATTCAACAAAAGTAAGTTATATATTCAGAAATCTTTAATATGTTAATTGTTAAGGAAGGGGGCTATCTTAAAGTGATCACTTTGAAGAGGATGTTCCATATTAGTTAGATTAGATTAGTTAAAGATTGCTAGTCATTTGAGAAGACCCCCATTGCATCTTCTGCCAGATGCTGTATCACTATCTCATCTATTCCTTGGCTCAAGGTGTAACCCGGTTAACATTTCCTGTAGCATACTGCTCTACATGTACTTTACATGTATTCTACATATATATATGGCAATGCTGATAGATGGACTACAGCACATGGGATATATCTCACCAGGTGTAGTCAGAGGTAGCAACTTGGTAGTCTTGCTTCAAAACCCTGGATTCCCCCTTTCTACTTTACTTTTGTTGTTTGAGTATATAGGAGGGAGGGGGGTTCAGGGTCTTGAAGCAAGACTAGCAACCAGGCCTTATATCTTAGATCCCCCCCCCAGGATAGCTTCACAACCCTCTCTGATTCCTCCATTTTGAAATTAAAATTGATAATGGGATGTTTTACAATTTTGTTAGTAAAATCATGACCATAATTTTCATTGAGGAAGATAAAATGAATATATTTGATTTATAAAGTATTTGTGACCTTTTAAGTACATGTACTCTTTTGTTTGAATAATCAGCACAATCCAGGAAAACTACTTGTCAGATTTACGAAAGATATTATTTTATTCAGCCAATAACTGCTACTAATGAGGTATTATGATCATCAGAGCTTTATATCATTCCTATCAAAGTATATATAAATGCACAGTATACTATATGGCTGTATGTCTTGTTTATATATAACAATTTGTCTCCTTTGTTACATCAACCAGTCAGCCCCCTGCCCTGTCTTACATAAAAGCAGTCAGTCCTGATCCCCTGTCTTGTCTTGTAACAAGCAGTCAGTCCCTGTCTTACATCAAAGTGGTCAGCCTCCTGTCCTACATCAAAGTGGTCACTCCAGATCCCTTGTCTTGTCTTGTAGAAAGCAGTCAGTCCCTGTCTTACATCAAGCAGAGGTTGGGTCCCTTTCCTGCTTGATTTAAAATCTGTGTTACCAGTACTTAGGATGAGGTAATAGATATTTAGGAAGGTGGTTGACAAGTAAAGAGATTTAAACTTTTTAAAAGGTAACTCTATTCACTCCTGGTAAAATTATGAACTGTCAACTGTAGGAGAGTGTTTATACCTTTCCACACATGTACAGTACTGTAATCACAATATAGTTTAATGATTAATTAGGCACAGTTCCTAATGAACTTGCAAGCTGGGAAGTTGGCAGTGGGCCTGTGTGAGAATCCTATATCTTACATCATACTATCCATGTTATATGAATATGCACTGAGGTATACTGAGGTAACATGTTTTTTAGCATCATCTTTCACATCATCAACTCTGGTGATTGTACCTTCCAAATAAGTCATGTAGTGATGCAGATCTTAGAGTATCCTCGATCGGGGGGGGGGGGGAGATAATAGAATATAATTGATGTAGCTTCTTAACTATATCTTTACAGGGCCTCACCTCAAGCAAGCAACCAAATAACCAAACTAAACCAACCAACCTAACCCAACCAACCAACCAACCTATACAAGATAAATACTCAAATAACACAGAGTTAGTACATCTACTGGAAATCCAAAACACCCACTTTAATCATTCGAAATAACACATTCATCAATGATACCGTAATATCTTTATTGATGCATTTAGTTGCTCTATAATAACCAAACATGGAATCATATAAAGCTATCCGTGTTTTATGTCGAAATTATTGGAAATCTGGTTTGTTGATTGATAATAGTACTTATAATAGAGAAAATAACAATCTATAAAAATACCATATTCATAAGATACCTGTTGTTCATAAATGTAGGCCTATCCCCTGGAGTCTATTCCATTGATGCAAATGCTTTAAAAATAATCCATTCTGTTCATAATTACTTTTATTTGTCTCCAGGTAGAGTAGTCTTCACTGAAACACAAAGTATGATTCTTGTTTTCTTATGACTAACCTTTTATATCTATACATAGTGAGACCAAAATAACCGAATGAGTTATAAAAAGGTTTATTTATGAAACGAGGACAACCTTGGTCTTAAAATATCCTCAGCGATATTTTTAATTTTTCAGTTTATTTTTATTTTATGAATGAAGACGTTGTAACGAAAATAGCACACACTTAAAGCTTGTAGTGTAGGTTAAACCAACATTGGCTGTTTACCATACACACACATATATACTAACCAGTCCAGAAATATTTTGTCCTCTTACTTTTTGTTTGGTATTATGTTAAAGCTGGGACAAGCGCATAGTCTTTCTTATATAACAAATAGTTGTTTTGATAGTATATACACTTATCCTGACATGGCTTATGGCAAGCTGGGAAATCTGTTTAAGTGTAGTAAAAGTGAAGATTAAATATGACATATTGAATTATAATGTGACATATTGAATTATAATGTGACATATTCAGTCATTCACATTTTTATGGCCCCTCCAATAATTGACATAATTGTGATAGCGCCCATCTTTCTATGACTGACATTCAAATGAAAATGAAGATTATTAATGGCATATAAAAGCATACACATTATTATAGCACCATTGAGAAGGGCTTTCATATTTTAAAAGTCACCATTTTCTCTGAAATTCAGTGCCAGTGTTTCAAGCTGTTACATTTTTGTACCCATTTGTAATATCTTGCCAGTTAGTGACATTTTCTCATGTGTAACACCCTGTATATTTTGTCACTCATTTTTATCATATCTCCCTCCCACATATAATATACATGTAATGGCTAATTTAAAAAAAATCAGTTGTTTGATTTTACTTCCTCAACTTCAACTTTACAACTTAAACAGACATTATTTAAAGACATATTCACCAATAATTCTCAGTGACCAGTCATACTGTTAAACTATATTCATTCAGTCATACAGCTATGAAATACCTTGATGGATCAAGAGTGTGACCAGTCCAGTCTACTTACTTTATATTACATTACATGAAAATCAACCATGAAGCCTGATCAGATGAGATTATCATATATTAAGGCATCTTGAGACTCAGATGTGATTGTGTCAAGTTGAGCTCAGTTCATGTCAAGTGCCATTTAACTTGTCTCCACTTCTCACATTTAACTTAGGTGTTAATACCCATATATTGTTCAGAAAAACATAGCAGTGTTTAAAACATACATACTCAAAGTCATGCCCCTAATTGTATATATCTTATTTCACTCATTCTGGCCTGGCTCATCTTTCTGTTTTCAAACAAGCATTTGTATATTCTAGAAAGTAACTCAAAGAAGACTTAATCTCGCAGTGCAAAACCAAGACAAAATACTAACTAGCTCGCCCTTTAGTTGAATATCAGGGGATAAGGTCTTGATACAAGATTCACCTTTAGTATAGTCATGAGATTCACATTGTAGATATATACTGTAATACTCAATGTAAATATGTTGAAACTTGCTCCAGGGTGTTTTAAAATCTACTAGCAGCATCTTCTCAAATGACACTTAACCTTTACTTTGTTATGATCAGATTTGTTCATAATAAAATGTCACCACAGGCTCACTATCTCCAAATGGAGCAGAAACCCGATGCAGGACGTTACAACATGTAAAGAAGTAGTATCCTATATACCCTGAGGTTGAGTATGCTTATGTATGACATGTGCAGGAGATATGACATGATGGACATGTTTGATGGTAGCTGATATGTTAAGAGATATAGTTCTCCAGGCTAACTGTTTTAGACAGGGCTGAGTGCTTGAGTAAGCTAATTGTGCATATCTATTTCCCTTGATTGTTAAAGGCAAAAAGACTCAGACATCCTCCTACAATAAGCTTTGTGTTAGTCTTGTGGCAAATGATTTTTAATTTTTTATCCTCAGAGAAAGATACACACAATACATACATTCTTGATATATAGGCCTATTCGCATCTATTCAAGATGGACAATTTATTTATACTTGAAGTTGAGACTGTTTTGAGGCTGAGGCATGTGTGTGGTTCCACATGTTATAAGTCTTAAAATGTCCTATTGTTCAAAATTAAAGGTTAAGTTATAGCAGTCATTATTAAAGTTTAAACTTGTGTTCCTTTATTACCTTTTTTGAACCTAAAGGGCACTTTGCTTTGCTAAACATTAGAGTAGTACTTGTCTTTTACAGTTTCTCAAGTGTACCCTGGTCTGATTCACTACCCCAGAAATATATTCTTGATAATGACAATCCATGTTTAGGGCCAGGTTGAATCTGTGAAGCCTTACAGTATAAACACACATCCTGAGAAAATGTTTTGATATTTTCCCAAGCCCTTTGTATACTAAATGTTATAAAGGTGACAAACAGCTATTCAAAGTTTTTGTTACTACTTTTTCACATCCAGGTATTGTTAATGTTATGCTTCTTGAACATTGCTCATGTTTCAAAAGATGAATTAACCTATATAAATGGTCAATCAAATGATAGTAACTTTCCCATAGGAAAATGGTTGCTACTGAAACAGAATGCTCTGGGAGACTAACAGAGCATGTGTCCAACAATGTCAAATATATAGGTTGGTATTTGAAAACTGAATGTCTCAAAATGTGAACATATCTTTAAACTGAGCAACTTGAAATATAAACACATCTTCAAACCAAGCACTTCAAATATGAGCATACGAGTTTCACTGTATCTTTCAAATGAATACCTCAAAATATGAACAGATCATAAAACTGAACACCTGAAATATGAACAGATTTTACAGCCTATTGTATTTAACAAAAAGTTAGCCAGTCGCAGTAGCTCTATTTGTTAAAGAGACAAAGAGAAAATAATAAGGATGGTAATTCTGAATATTATTATTAATATTTATTGTCATTGAACATTTGGTCTTTAGATCACGATATTATTTGATGTTTAATTTGACTTTACTGTTGATCAGTCAACTTTGCATGTTTGATCACCATATCTTAGCATTAAATGCCTTGAATGTTAATATTTAAGTTCTTGTGAACTATTAGCTATTGTGTGCAGAAAAGATGCTGTAGGCGGAATAAAGTATATAATTTAATAAAAACCGTCATGATGCCCTAGTTCATTCAGAATTGTAAAATCGAATAAGTTCACTTGATAAACGACAAAAAGTATGAATAACAAAATTATCACTAAAGTGATGTGGCATATCGTGACATTTTCATAGTTTCGTAATCGAACAAAAAAGTCTTCCGAGGAAGTGATAAAGACAAATCTGATTTGACACACATGCTGTGATCTTCATGCTGATTGCAGTCGTCAGAATATAGACTTTTTCAGATGTTTTATTTCCTCTTTGATTACTCACTATTTCCTGTTCATATATGAATAGCTCTGAAGTCACTTTATATGAAACTCTACAGAAAGAGGAAGTGGGGAATGATCTAATGAAGTTTTGTAGTATAGTAAAACCTGCGTTAATGAACACCTCAAGTGAACATCTGGCTCTACTGGACACCTTCCTCCGCACATACTGTTCTTACTTCTGTACAAATTAACCCCTCTGCAGTGAACACCTACCTACAGTGAACACATTTTTGTGGTTCTATAGGCGTTCACTATATGCAGGTTTTACTGTATACATCTCAAGTGAAATCCAAACATCAGAGACATCTTTACATGTGTATGTCATAGTCTCCATGGTAATTGAAATCTGATCTCTAAAAGCATGCTCTTGGCTCTCGTTATACGGCCATATAAGGACATACAGGATCAATATGGCTGGGGGATTATTAGGTTAATGAGCTTGTTGGCTAGTAATCCTATAATGTTATTCTGTTCTTGACCTTATCAGGGAGGTGTGTAATCTTATAGGAGTCAAGGATATTACATAGCACAGTCAATATACTGTTTTATTTATTTTGCCAATCTGACACTCATCCCATCTGCTTTCTTACAATAGACAATTCTCATTGAAATTACCATATTAAAATGATGGTGATATTTGTATTATACATTGCAAATATTATCTGCATGTTTATGTCATATTATCAACAGTCTTATATCAAAATCAGCCATCTATAAAGGTAGAATACTTGTACTTTATATTGCATTACATTCCCATTTAGGTAGGCAATTTCTGAACTCGTGTGCATTCTACTTTCCCTTATTACTATGGCCAGGATTTTAAAGGCTTGATTTATATGCCAAAATATTGCAAAACCTACAATAATCACATAGATGTTAGGAAATAGACTTGTATGCCAGTCAGAGAGCTACTCTTATTTAAACCACCTTTTTAATCAAACATATCTTTTATTTGATTAATGAGAATCACACAAATATATGAAGCAAAATCAGGGTCTGTAATATAGAGAAATTGCACTGAATATTATATCTGTCAAACACATGTTTTAATTTCATGTTATGCTTTTGTACTTGTAGGTCACATTTACAAAGCGAAAGTTTGGACTAATGAAGAAAGCATATGAATTGAGCGTACTATGTGATTGTGAGATAGCTCTCATCATATTTAATAGCTCTAACAAACTTTTCCAGTACGCTAGTACTGATATGGACAAAGTACTTCTTAAATATACAGAATATAATGAGCCTCACGAAAGCCGCACAAATAAAGACATCATTGAGGTAAGTGCTGCCACCTATGTTAAAAACTGACCCTGAGAGCCATTCCTCGATTTAAGGATCAAGAGTTTTAGAGGGGAATATGTTAAATCATAAGTATCTTTAATCATAAGCATCTGTAACAAATGGCAGGTGGTGACATTTTGCCTGTTAATGCCTTGTTGATGTTATTATAACATAATATTTATTTACCTTTACCAAGGGATGAATATACTCAAGGGATATCATGTTATTCCTAAGGATTCCTCATTATTATTTGTTACAATGGCTGTCTTCCAATGTTCTTCCACAATGATATATAGATTCACTGGAGCAGCTTGGGTCCCATGAGTATTCCTGACATGTCATAAAAGAATTAACTACAGAAACTGGTATGCAGATTGAATCCTGGGATAGCAACATGTCATTGTGTGCTGTCTCTTTTTAACATAACAAATTATGATATATGTATCGATCATATTTATATTCTTGATTTTTTCTGAATTCTAGTGATGTCTGCATGTTTTATATGATATTTCTTGAGGTTTCAGCTGTTATACATCTATAGAGGAGACGTGATTCACGATATCTGCCATAGCTTTAAATTCTTGTGAATTAAAAAATTAGAAAAGGGCAATGCGTCCAGATTTGATAGTACAATGCAAAATCATCACCTCTGAGCTATTATTTAACATTTATAGATTTTTAACGAAAGAGAGCCCTCCCATATGCTTGCTCAAATCAAGAAATGATGACGTAATCCTAATTTGCCTAGATTACATGCATGAACCTTCTTGAAAGTTCATGCTTCATATTTAATATTGTTCAGGGTTTCAAACTCATTGAACTTTTGTTCGATTGTCCTCAATACAGGAGAAAAAACATCGATCAATATATTGTTGTTTATAATATGTTGACAGTGTTATCTTTCCATCCAATGTAAACCTAAACACGGATGTAAATTCACATTTGTTCTACCTCGACCTATAGGGGACATGCTCCAGGTGATAGTGCTTTGAACCATTCAATTTATTTTGTTTATACATATTATGAGACAATATTATCTCACGGGTGAAACAAAAAATGATGTGAATATTTCCAATAGAGCATTACTGAGCCCTGGTTTGATCGAGCCATTCTCATTATTATCTAATGCTTGGAAGAGGCTTAGCTTACCCTTTGTATTTGCCCTTTGCATTTGTTCAACTTTGCTTTGTCTTTATTGTATCTGTTGATAATAAATCTTTGAATTCATTGAGCCAATCAGAGTTCATCGTCGAAATACAGACGACTTCCGTGGTCATTTTAGAATTAGACTGTATTGTAGCATCAACTACTCTTTTCAAGAGATAAGTGGGGCTTGAAAAATATGGGTCAAAATGCAATGGATTATATAGTTTACAGTGATACTCCCTTAATATATCAAACATAAGTAAATGAAGTAACAAGAATATTATGAAGATCCTGTCATACCAACTTCTGAATTACGATTGTTTCCAGATCTATCAGACTTGAGGAAGTTAGTTTACCATTAATCACCCTTGCAAAATATTAGTCTGCGATATCCCTCCCAGAAAATGACAATGCGAGAAAGCATTTCCATCGAAACAGAAAGATTGAAGATATGAATTCAGAAATGACGCCACTTGTATTAGGTTGCTGTCTTTTGAACATCAGAATTTTGTTTGGACAAGGAAGAGGAAGTGACAATTTATGATCTTGTCATGATTTTGGATACTTACTATATTTCTACCATATCTGTACCCAGTGTCAATGCCAGTTCATCATCGACATGCTTCAAACTAGTTTGTATTGATCCCTTCCTGGAAGAAATCTATAAACCTATTTATAGACGTCATAGATTCTATTTATAGAATGCTAATGGTAATACATCACTTAATATACTATAATTTGCAGGTAAAACAATCACCTGAGCTATATTAAACAAAGGACGTTACGTCACATGTATGCATTTTATTCAGGTTAATCTAGTCAAGTGCTGACATTTAATCCTCTCATAATTGTCAAGTAGAATCTATAGGATTATTCCAATATTTTTTTATCAGAAAGACTCGATCAGCGAGGATCTGATTTACCTGCCCAACTTATGGTTATTTGACCTTTTGGAAAACAATTAATACCACATATACGAGGAATAAATTACAAGTAAAGTACAAGGTAGAAATTCTAGTTGTGGTATATTTTGTACAGGGCGTCATTATAGCTTCAGTAGCTAGACAAAGGATGGGTGGGTGTTGAACCATAAATATAAAAACTAATAATAAATGTCATATATATGTGGTGTTATTTATTTATATAAGGGAAGCTGAAAGTTAATTTTAACACAATGTGGTTTTGGTTAGGCTATTGTTATCTTGGAAATATGTTGATGACAGGTTATATTAATGAATGTACTTCATTTTTATTAATATATATGCATTATACTATTCAATGTCAACGCTGTTTATTATTCGTGACAAATATAAAGTTGTGCTTAATGTATATATATCGCAACTGATGGTATGATGTCAGTTTAGACAACTATGTCAGTGATGTCAGTTTAGAGGTTGAGCTAGATTATTAAGACTTCTTTAATGTTGAATCTCTCATGTTTCCCTGGTCTAAATTCGTGGTCATCCTCAAGTTCAGATTTTTTTTAATAAATGTTCAGGTATGTGGTATTGTAAATAACAAATGATGTCATCAGGTCCATATAGTATAAAACTAATGAATAGGTTTCAAACGACACAATAAGACAATTCCGATTTAGAAATTACAGAGTTTCATAATTATGGAGCTTGGCTTAATATTTATGGGTTCCTAGTGATATTTATGGTATCAATACTGTCATAATAACACTGGAAAGAATAGGTTGTTGTATGAGATATAGTTGTTGTTGTCCTTGCTGCTCTTGAAAAATGTTCATAGGGATATACCTTGACGGAACTGGTCATGAATCGTTGAGGTAAATAGCCATTTCACTATGGCAATCTCAAATTTTTCCTTGATATTTTCTTATATAGCCATCAAGTCAAATAATAGTTTTTTCATGCTTATGGTTTCCCTTTATAAGATACTCAAGTGCAGAATTCCTAGTTCAGTTGAATTTTTTTTTACCAATTGTGACCACAAAATCTCTACTCTGGTCATAGTGTCCATATTTGTCTTGCTTTCTATTTCAAAATTTGGATACATGTAGATTTTCAGTACTAAAGCTTTTAAATTCTCAGATTGGATCACAGGACTTTGTGCGCCACCTATCGGACAATGATAACTGATGAATTATGAGCTAAGGAGCTTAGTCTGATTTGCCATAAAGTGCATGTTCCATGGGTCTATGGTGGTTGGTTAGCTTGATGGATGAGATAGCATTGGGGACTCAACCTAATCTGGCCTCTATTCTACATATGCTAACAACTGGCATTGACGCAACTAAACTAAGTTCTGACGTCTCTACATAATGTGTTTCCCTTCCAAGAAATCACACTTTGTCAGACTGCTATATTGAACCAAGCACGAAATTGCACAAGCTGCTTGGACACAACATGGAATATGCCATACACTTTTTGCATATCAAATCCATAATTGTATCACTATCATAGAAAAAGGTCTATAATTGTTTGATTAATGAGGAAAGTTGAAAATTCTTGATGGCAAAAAGAAGGTTAGAGTCAGGGCAGGATGACCCAGGAAGAGAGCCTGATACATTAGATTCAGGGCTAATAATCCAATAAGTTCCTGCTATTTGGCTTGTTTCATGTATATATTGATGTGTGATATGATATAATACTGGGCCAATAACACAACTCTCTGACCATATAGTTGACCTTATAGTTCTGATGCTTGTGTGATCTTAATGATTCCAAGTAGCTTTGAAGGCCTTATTTAATGCTCTACATATTCTGTGATTAGATATGGACTATAATGCCTGTAGCCAGGATGTATGGGGGTTTGGTTCTTGGGGGGGAGTTATATCCTACTAGCCAGAAATTTTAAAATCATACAGTTTTTTCACCATTTTGAGCAGTTTTCAAGTGATTTGGGGTCAGAGTTGTCATGTTCGAACTTCCCTGGATTTAAAAAAAATTGAACCCCTTGGCAAAAGTTGGCAATGGGTCTGGCTATACAAGATAAAAGAATTGTCTCATTTTAAGAATTAAATTTAATCTGTGTTTTTGAAATTGAAATCTTTGGAAAGATAATCAACATTATTTTATTTTATTCTAAAGGATACATGTCTTTTTAAAAAGGAAGTGGGTCTTGCAATACATTATTGCATTATTGATAATAGTGGTAATCAATTTATAATAAACTTGTTTACTCCAGTACAATTAGTTGAACATTTATTATGGTATGGATATATGCAGGAGTTAAAAACAAGGACAGTTGTCTCAGAGCCCTGAATAGCCGGATATAATACTGTGTAAACTCTTACAGTTTTCAGTTGTCTTTATGCCTACTAGATCTCAAAACTTGCCTGCTCAAATTTTTTCCTCACAGTTTTCAGAATTGTAGAAGTTTTGACAATTGTTTTAGCATTTTCAGAGAAAAATAAATAAGGAAAAGTCTCTTCAACTGATTTTTTTCAAAAGATATTCTTGCTTGATATATATTCCATGAGCCTGATAGTCTGATTATAGTGATAGTACAGACTGATGTAGATTAGCATTGGCCCTGAGAAAGATCTAGGCTAATATATTACATTTTCCATCTTGTGGTTTGTTACCTTTCAAATAAGCCTATTTGATCTTTCTCAAATTGAAGGTATTGCTTGCTAGGGTAGTGTCTCTTAACCAGAGGACATTTACTCCTTATTTGGTCATGTAACAATGTTCAGGGGGTCAGAAAAATTCTGGAAATGTGATAGTCTGGGATGGTAGTGATTCTATATAAGAGGTGATTAATGGATGTCTATATGATGCACTGGAGACATGCTTCTATCTGTCAGCTGAGATCTTGATGTGCTTTGTCTTCAAAATATCAATGTCCCTTGAGTTTTGTAACTTGTTTCTTGGCTTTGATGA